CTGGTGACTTTTTAAGGTCAAAAAGTATTTCCTGGGAGTAAACCTGCGTTAACTGATTGGGTCAGGTTATTGGGAATCCTTGCTCACCTCTGACTCCTCAGTGGATTAGGGAATTAGGGCTGAAGTGTCTCGAAGACTGACCTGAGCTCTGTGTTAGCTGAGCCTACTCTACTAGCTTCCTGGGCCATACCCCCTGTGTCTGGTAGAAGAGGTTCAGGGGTCTTACATGAACTTCAAACTGCCAGCCAGACACCAGACATGGAAACTTGAGCGTTATCTTCAGTTTGACCCAATGTGTGGGAGTGAGGAAATGAAACATCAGACTTCAAATTCAGCCTGGTCTGGGCAGAAACCTGTTACCAGACCTTGCAGATTTGCCACTCCCAAAGAGCACTGTGTTGGTGGTCAAAAAGTGCCACTCCAGAATGAAATCGATGTGTGTGTGATTGGGAAGAAGGATCCAAAGGCCAAGGGGCCTCAGTAACTTCATTATCAGATTCTTCCTGCCAACCACTGAATGCACAAGCCGGGCAGAAGGTTGGCTTGACTGGCCGGACTCCAGGGCCTGGGCTGCAGAGGTATGTCTGGGAAAGAGAGGAGCTGTGCCAAGGCAAGCATCTCCCAGGCCAGCAGAGCAGCAAATCAACTACTTCTCGCAGCCCCTTCTTCCTCAGAATCCCCAGTGAGTCAAAGCCTATCCAGTAGTCAGTGCAGACTCAGAAGCTATGGAGAGCCGGACCCAGTGCCCAGATTACAGAGGCGAATGAACACAAGCCAAATATGCTTTTCATCATTGTGTTCTGGAAAATGTTAATTGATGTTTTCCTGATTCTCAGAGTAACACTTGTGGGTAGAAAAATAGAAGCATTTTAAATAGAGTCAATCATAACTCTAGGGAGAAACCCTTGGTAGCATTTTATGGTATTGGAGGTTCTTGCTAGCCAAGGGAAGGGGCTGGGGAAAGACCAGTTCTATGAAGCGTCATTAAAATAGAAGCCAAAACTATAATAACAGAGCATAAGTTTTAAGTTTTGATTGGGATTTTAACAATTAAGCTACAGGTTTGCACATGGGTTTATGTTATCCTACATTTAACAACTCATAGCATTGTACTCCCGACCTTTTCATTTAAAACTTTGTATTCTGAAGCATTCTAAAATGTTATCATCTAGGGATAAATTTTACTTCTTTACTTTTTATTGATGTGACTTTGCCAGATCCAGATTTATCAGTGGCCTTCAGTGATTTGAGCAGCTTTTCAACATCACTTCCCTGAGTTGATGAAAGCCTGCACCTTTTGCAGTAAGACCTTAATTCCACTCAGTACTGGATTTATGCTGCCTTTGAGCTGGTTCATCATATGTCTACACTGACTGACCATCAAGGACAAAGGATGGACAGTTCTGTTCACTGGTCTCTGTTTACAGTCAGCTCAGTGCTAGTAATCCGAAGCCTTGCAGCGATGCTAAGTTAGGTTTTACAAGTTTAAATCACTGTAAACAATAATGGGAACATGGAATCAGAGCCAAGGAGAAGTCTGGCTGCTTAAATCTTTCCCATCTACCTCCTGAAGGGTGCCACATGCCTGGTAGAAGTAACCCCCCACCAAAACACTGCCAGGCTGGGGTGAGGGGGGACAGCTGAGTTTAGCCACATCTCCCCAGAATTCACTTTTTCTCACTGTCTTTCTCTGCCTATCTGGCTCCAGGGGATGCCTGACTCTGGGCAAGTCACCATGAGGATGCTGTTTATAGTACTGCCCTGGGCGTGATCTAAAGCCAGAACAAAGGGAGTGTCGGAGCTGCTTTGAGCAAAGTACTCCTTGGTTGAGGGAGCTGTGGAGATTTTATAACCTGCACTTGGATAGTTTCTACTTGACTTACATATTTGCTTTAAATGTGCCCCATTGTCCCTTTCCTTTGCTTTGCCCCACCTGAGAGCAAGGCCAGCACTTTCCACTGGCTCTCAGTGCCAAGAGCCTCCTCTGTTCAGAATGTTGTCTGAAGTCAGTTTCTGCAAAAGCAGAACCTGAGATGGGATTTCTTGTATAGGCAATTTGTTGGGGGAAATGCTCTTGAGGGAAGAGGAATGAAGGGAGCAGAATCAGGCAGGGTAGGAACCACGGGTGGCTCCCTGTGGGAGTTGGCTATGACCCAGTCCCATGGGGATGCTGGAAGGTGGGCTGCAGGGAAGCTGGTCTCACCCTGAGGCAAAGGGGCAGCCTTGGAACCCATGTCAATCACAGACTGAAATGCAGGAAGGAAAAGTTGTCATTACCTTCCAGGCAAAGAGGGCTCCCTTTAGCTTGGGGCTGTTGAGCCAGTCTAGTCAGGGGTGCTGAGTGGAGCACCCACACCTCCTGCACAGGAGTCACCTGTTTGCCAAAGTCCACATTCAGAACCTCTTTAACTCACATCTGTAGAGGCAGAGCGGGGTGTAGGATGAAAACCGCTTGGTCAAGACAGCTTGAATAGCCTCAGGAGGGCTGACAGGCAGTGCTGACAGGCAGTCAGGGGTGATCCATGACACCCTCCCTGGGGACCATCCCAGGAGCAGATGAGTCATCATCAGCCCAGACTTGGCCTCTTTCTCCTAGAGATTCTTGCTTTTCAGTCTTTTTGCTTATCCCCACTGAGACCCGACTGGAGTTTGGAAGTTTTCATTTGACTGAGTAGAGTAGAAAAGAGACTTAGAATGATACAGTGAATGCTGGTTAAATCATTCTTTTCTAGCACTTTGGAATAAATAAAACAATAAAGTAATTCAGCAGCTCTTGAATAATCAGAAACAGTTGAAACCCAAAACTAAGTAAACTAAGTGTCCCTGAAGTTGCAGAGAAAGTTTTTGAAGCCAGGGCCATTTCTTCACACCCATACAAAAGCTGAAGAAGCCTTTGGAGCCATAAATTTTTACTTTAAGAACAGATGGACCTTTGATTCAGATCGTAAAGACGCCTCTCCAGGCTTGAAGCAGATTGCTAGTGAGAGACTGAACATTCCAAAGGGAGCTCAGAACTGGATTGATTCATCAGGGTGTGTGTGTGTGTGAGTGAGTGAGTGAGTGTAAGTGTGAGTAAATGAATGTGTGTGAGAGTACACATGTGTGCTCACTTGTGTGTGTGCTAAGGTGTTCTTGAGAGTAATTACACTAGGATGACAGTAATTACACCAGGATGTGAACCAGGACTGTGCCAGGGAAACTAAGAGGTAAATATACCCTTCACTGCCTCTGATGCCCACTAGCCAATTGGCTGGAATTCAAAGAAGTTTCTACTGGGGCCTGTAGTGGACACTGCTTCTGGGGAAGGATTATGAGGATGGTGACAAAAGACCCTTGAAGTGAACACTGGGACCTGTTCCTGCCTTCAGGACTTCAAGGTCTTGAGATGGCGTTTGAGAAGTTACTCTCTGGTTTTCCACATTGAAATTGTCATAGCACAATCCCTCAGTTTCCCAACTGACTATAATGCCGATGGCCCTGAGTCCATATGAGGAACATTGTAAGGTCAGGGAGAGTTTAGAAAATTTACCGTCATTCAGATCAGTTATCTCCGAGATTGGCTGCTGAAAAATGAACTGGAATTCCCTTTCTTTTTCTGTACCTCTTGTGTTTAGTTTGGTGATGGTGGGGGAAGCGGTTTGCTCTGCTTTGTTTTCTAAATTAAGTTTGATGGTTAACAGAAACCATATAAATCATTGTGTCCAGATCAATGAATTTTGTAGAATCAGACCCAATAATATTCCCAGCACCTCCAAGACCCCCTTCACTTGTTTCCTCCCCAGTTACTACCTTGACTTCTAACCCCATAGATGAGTGATTTATCTTTTGCTGTTTCTTTCTGTGTATTTTATAAGGTTCATAATAGTATCATAGCATATGTTTATCACAGCTAAGTAAGTGTATTGTGATCAGTGTTCACATTATTTTCCTGATTGATACACAATAACTGTATATCAATCCAGTTGGTCTAGAGGACTGGAAATGTTGGTCTGAGCTGAGGTGCAATGGGTGTTAGAAATTAGATCTGGAGCCTGGGTGGCTTTTTAGATCTGGAGTCCATATGAGTTGGTTCTTTTTAGGTGCCATTGTATTGTTGGCTGTGTTATTTCCCTCTAGAAATCCAGGGCCAAAGAGCAGGGCAAGAGACAGATTTTAGAGTCAGTCAAGAATACCCTTAGGTAAGTCACATGACTTCATTGAACTTTATTCAGCGTCCCAGCATCTAGACATCCAGCCAGTGCTAGTTCTGTACTGTATTGCCATCATCAAAATCTGAAAAAATACTGTTTCCCCTGAAAGCCTTCATTTGACTTCAGTTATCTGGAGAGGCCCTTGGGTCATGAAGTTCCTCCTGGCTTTCCTTTGACCTTGGTTGTAAACCATGTGTCTGGGTGGCCAGCTGCCCCCTGTCCTGTCTCCCCGAGGCTGCTGCAGGCTTCTGAGGCAGTGACACTGGGAAGGCAGTGACACTGGGAGGCCTCTCCTTGCCTTTGTCCCCATCCACCACCCTGCACCCTGGGGAGGTGTGCAGAGTTGCAGTTTGGCCCTTAACTCTCCAGGCTGCAAAAGAGCCTGTATGCTTGCTGCTTTGGTGCGATTTCCGTAGTTTTCTTTCCTAAACTAGCAACATCTTGAAAGGCAGGATTAAGGTGTGTGTTAGGGAATAAAGGGACTAAAAAGATGAGTTGGTTGCTTTTATCCAGACCTTATGAGGTGCCCAGCTTACACAGGACTGGCTCAAGACACGCTGGGTTCACAGGTGAAGTGTTGTCAAGAGTGGAGAGTGGCTTTGTCTTTTCCCCCACAGGAAGAGTGGGCACCCGGAGGAGGTTGGAGGCCTGGCCAGAGGCTTCTGCTCTCCCCCAGCCATGGTGGTCATTGTCTAAGAACTGCCCACAGACGGACAGTGTCTGCTGAAGGCTGTGTTGCCTCCCTGAGTCCACACCCACACATCTGTCTTTGTGCAGCCAGCTCATCTGTTCATGCTTCTTCTCTTCCAGGAGGAAATGGGCATTTCCTGTGAACTGCTGGAATTGGACTTCCTCAAGTGCAGTGTGGGATTTCCTTTCATGAGGTCAAAGTCAAAGGTAAGGGGAAGAGGGCGCATTTCCTTGGCAGTCGGCCCCAACCCTTCCCACCTACCCCTCACTCCACCAGCTGTCAGCCCAGGTTTCCTCCCACAGCTTTGCCTCCCCCTAGGTGGCCAGCAGCACAACCCTACAGGGTGCCACCAAGTTCCTGTCCACGGCACTCCACAGTAAGCTGTGGACAGGCTGTGGTCCTCGCGGCCCACCCAAGATGTGAGACACCCTGGCCTTTGGCAAACAGCAGCTGATCAACCTTCTAAAGTGTTCTTTACTAAGCCATTCTGGGCTGCTGTGTCCCTGTGACAACATGGGAGATGTGGGCCAGAAGCCTACAGCCTTGATACTGTCTCTCTCCTACACGCTCGCGATTTCTTTAAGCGATCTCTTAAATACTCAAGGTGTAGACTGATGGTGTTGCATCTCATTTTTTCTTTTAAAGCAGAAGAAATTACAGTCATTGACATTTATAAGGGGTCAAATTTTCTGAGCTCAAACAATAAATGATGCATAGTCACACATTCCAGAAGAATCCTGCTGTGTGCCATCATTGTAAAGAGATGCAAAGATACAACAAGATGTGATTTGGGGAGCTAAGACTAGAATTTAAAAGATGAGGTCTGCCTTTTGAAATAGAAGCTGTTTCCCCTGCTGCATTTGAAGGAAAGTTCATATCTCTTGTTCTGCCTTGCCCTGCCTGCCGCCTCCAAAAAAAGAAAAAAGAAATTTTAATCCTTCTCCCCTGCCTGTGTCATAGAATTGATTCATTTTGATCTCTAAGGCTTTTTGGTCCCACTATTCCGTAGCTGTTTTATAAACCAATTGTGAGAATATTTTGGTGAGTAAGAAAATCTGCTCGTTCCTTAGCAAATCCCTTGACCTTATCAGCCCTTTTAAAAGTCCCCGCTCCATGCTGTTGTGGCTCTCGCATCTGGGATTCCTCAGCCTTTTCCTGGCTCTGTGCATCTGTCCCTGCTTCTCCAGGAGAAGGGGTGGCGCGAGAGGGGATTGTCTTACATGTGGCTGGCAGAACACTGGCCAAGTCCCACTAAACGCCAGGAAAGGTGAGGAGGAAGGAGGAAGGCCCTGGCTTTCAACAAAGGTTGAAGGCATCTTTAACCTTCGTAACACATGGTACCTCAGTGTGCAAACCTATTTGAAGTCTTTTGAGCACCAGAAGTGACTGAAGTGAAAAACTTTGACAGTTTGCCATTTCATTATAAAACACAGTCTCCATCCAAATCAAACCTAAGTGCATCTTGCTAGTTTTCGTCTAAAACTAAAAACTAAACTTGTTTTCAAAGGAAAATGTATATCCCTACAGCAAAAGGGGACCTAAGATCACTGGGCAGAAAGAAAAGGTAGTCAGAAAAACGAATGCCATGTAAACAAAGTAATGTTGAATTCTAGGGCATTAAATTTTGTCAAAATTCATTAACTCTCAAAAAATAATCTCAACCAACAATATGGTAAATGTTGGAATCTTGGATTATTTTCCAACCTGGTAACCAAGTGTCTTTCACACGCATATGTTAAGATCTATTGTAAGATTAAACCTTTAGATGGGGGTTCTCTGTGGTCTCTCCCTAGAAAAAGACTCAGGAGTGACCAGCAGGGATAGGGGCTCCTTCTACAAGCATTCCGACTTGCCTTGTGTCCCCTCTCCCTCTCCTACTTGTGGGCCTCAGGCCCCAGGCCACCTGCCGAGCCCGTGACTAAGCTGCGGGCCGACTTAGGTTGTCCGTGTGTGTCCCTCATGACCAGCCTGCCAGCTTCTGACCTCTTCTCCTGGGCCTCCTGGAGGTCATCCAGACCTTTTGCCTCTCACCTCCCCAGGATCTGGGGTGTATTTAATCCAGGTCTCCTGCCAGGTCTGATGCTTTGCTGGGACAAGACCCCTGACTTTCCCTTCCTTTGTCCCCCAGCTCCGCTTCCTGTCCTCATGCCTCACCACCCTGAAAGCTAAGCTGCACCGCCACAGAAATGTCTCCCTTAAAAGGGATGTCCAGTGTCCACTAGAGTTCATGGTCTTTTGTCCATCACTTTCCGAAGCATTCAGTTCAGTAGAATCCAGTGCCAAAAAGATATTGCCTAGAATTAGTTATAAAGGAACCCAAATATTTATATGTTAACTATATCATATTTTTGTTGAATTTAAGTATTTATTTTTGTCCAATCCTTTATTGGAATGCAAAGAGATCAGTTGTCTTGGCCAACGTCATGAGGTTATGGTAGAGCTGTTCTATAACCCCTCCCCAGGGATTCCACCCACATTTCCCACAAGTGCAACTTGTATATAGTCAAAAGCATCTGCGTAAGGCAGTGCTCCCCAAATCACAGGATGCTCCCCTCTGGGGATGTCTGAGAGGATTATGGGTCACTCATGAGATTCTTTTGGGTGATAAGGACATGGCACTGCTCAACACTGGCTCTAGGAATAAAAACTACCTTTTCAACACTTTCTCAGTCCTCACCACATGTGGGAGAGAGACTCTGGTGGAGCTGCATGTTTTTAACATCTCTCTTCCACTTGTTAAATCTCCTCATTAGCAAAACAGAGTAGACCTTTGGATCAGGGCCTTCAGCAGGTAACAGAATCCAACATTGCTTTGATTTCATTGTTTTTGTTTCTGTGATGACCTCCTTGTGATTATAAGTGGTCCTGGATGTTATCTGTGTATTATGTGATAATGGGATAAATTTTCCTTTTAAAATCCTCTGTAAACAAAAAGACTGAGGCAATAAAAATATGAAGTTTTAACAGCACAGACGATGTAATGGGTAGATGTACCAAAATTGGCAAAATGGTATGACAGTGAAATTTACAAAGTCGTGGTTGAAGAGGCTAGTGTTTGTTATTAAAGCTTTATCTCCAGCCTGACTATCAGAAAGGACAGCAGTTGCCATGCAGAGGGGCCTCCCGGGGCCATGCACTTCTGAGGGCATCGTGACACCCTCTAAGTTTGGATTCCTGCTGATGGCACTTTCTCTTTCCCTAGTATGAATTCAGCATGATCTTTGATACAAGCCACCTGTCTGGGGAAGAAGAAATTCTTAGCTTCATCGTTACTGCTCAGAGGTAAGGGAGATGGAGTCTTTTTACATGACAAATAATTAATGGGACCAGGAAGCCATGTCCTCTTCACATGTTGCTGATGCCAAGGATCCTGCAGGGGAAGAAGTGATTATTCAGTGAGAGAGGAGACTGGGCTGGGCGAGAGTACCCTTGGAGCCTTGGAAATCTGACCCATTTTCCAAGGGCAGTGGGAGCCTCTGGAAGTGTTTGAGGAAGGAAGAGACATAATGTAACAGCTTACCCATACAACATGGGATTGCTGGATTTAATTAGGGGGACAGATGCCCCCACCATTCCCATTTACTGCCACTTATGGGGCCCACAGAAAACTTGCCAGTGTTTCTGGGCAGCTCCATCAGTGTGCTCTCTGGGTCCTTCAACATCTGTGGCAGCTGATGTTCCTAAGGAGCAACATCCGGGCAGGAAATAGGACAAGTGAGAGGCTTCCCTTGTCAAATAAAAGGAAACTCCACCTGCCTCTCTCAGGGCTGAGAGGTGTCAAAAAGGGTGCCCAGTGGTGAAAGCTTCATCTGCTAAAATCACATGTCCTTAGACCAGTGGGGCTCTGGCCTGGGAGGCCCTTGGAATCACCCAGGAGAGCTTTAAAAACTACAGATGCCTGATCCACCATGAGAGTCTTTTCTAATTGGTTTGAGTGGAGTCCGGACATGGGGATTTTTTTTAAAAGATTGATTTATTTATGCAGACAAGAGCTGAGGTATAGGCAAGAGGTGCATGGGATGAGAGGATTCACCAGAGACAGTGTGGGGAGCAGGAGAGGCAGATGTACTGAAATACACTGCTGAGAAGAGCAGTGGGCGAGATAGGAGAGGTCCATTGTGCCATGTGTGTCACCTCCGTGGTCAGGAATTGAACTCACGTTGCAGTGACTGCTGATAGCTTCATAGTGCTGAGACTTAACCCCTTTTGCCCAGAGAGGCTAGTACTGGGATTTGTTTTTTTTAATAAATAATATAATTATATCATTTTGTGCATTTTCCCATCTCAGTTGTAATCCCCATGGGCTTCCCATCACCAAATCACCTGGCTTCCCATCACCAAATCACCCGTGTGCCATCACCATGGTCCAGTGCACTTCCCTCCCCCCACTGTTTTTGATCCCATTCCCCACTCCACCCCCATAAAATGTCTCTGGTATATAGCTGTTCATAATCATTATTATTATTTTCTCTCCTGGTCCATTATATTACTGCTATGAATGAAACCATCCGGTATTTTTCCTTTTCTTTCTGGCTTATTTCATTAAGCATGATGCCTTCCAGCTCCATCCACCGGTACTGGGATTTTTTTTTTTAAAGGCTCATCAAGTGATTCTAATGAGCAGTCAAGGCTGAGAACCACTATCTATAGTTCCTTAATCCACACTGGGCACATTTCCACTCAGGAGACATCCGTTGAGCATCTGCCACTTACCAGGCTCAGTGCTAAGTGCCGTGTAGATACGTGAAACTGTATGTGCCTGTGTATGTGCAGGCCTGTGTATGTCTATATGTAAGAAAATGCTAGTCGCTTATCAAATCAAGAACATGTTATGTTTACCCATTTTACATAGCACCAGGGACCACATAGTATTGGTAGCATAAATAGCTGTCAGAATCTTCTAATTCTTTGAATCCCAAATGATAAGGCAGCTGTACTATCTAGTAGGCAGGCCATGGAATATTTCAGGCACTTAGTTCTCTCCAGACTTTGGTGACAATCTGGCCTGCAGTCCCGAGGGCACCCATAGCACTTGACTCCCTGCTCTGACAGAAAGATCCTTAAAGCTCCTTATCTTGAAAGCCACAGTTAAAATATCAATCATTTCTTTCTTCCCTGTCACCACCCTTTGAAGCTCTCTTGCCTACTTGGGGATTTCGGAGGACATAAAGTTGAAACTAAACAGTTTCTCAAGAGCTCTCCTCTCAGCAGCCGTCACGGGGAAAGCACCCCAAGTCACGCGCTGGCAGAGTGACTGGAAACCTTTTGATGTTTGGCCTCTTTATCTCAACTTTTCAACTTAGCTCAGTCTGAAGCGGTCCACCTGATGACAGATGAGACCGTTGGCCCTAAGCTGCCAGCAGCCACAGGTGGCTGGACAAATGGCAAGGGCAAGAGGTGGCCCTGCCCTCAGGAACAGATTACTCAGATGCTGGCAGGATGCTGGTGGGGGAAGGGAGCTGGTGTGATGTGGCCGTTATGTCCACAGGGGAGTCGCTTCTGGCCCTCCCTTTGGGGGGACTCTGGCTTTCATGGCCCCCTGGGAAAGGAAGGGCCAGAAAGCCAGGTCCCGAGGCCACCTGATCCTGCTGCTTCAGTCATCGGTGGCCTCTGAGTAATGGATGTCAACTCTGAGTGCGGAAGACAGATGAAGAGTCAGGGGTCAGAGTGACAGCGCACCATTGTTTCGGAACAATAGGAGAGAGACAGGGGACCTTCGTGTTATTTAAGTAATGTTGCCATTCAGTGCTCATGGGTGAGAGAGGAAGTTGGGCGGGGTTTGGCACAGAGCAGGCAGGATTTTGGGGAACGGTGTGGTGGGGACTGGGCAGGATGAGCCCTGTGCACATGTCAGCAGGGCTGGGGGATGCTTACGTTTCACCCTCAGTGAATTTGGTTTTTCCCTGGAATCCACATCCATGCAGTCCTTGCCTGACATAATCATTACAATTCATATTTGCAATTTAATAAAATAGTAAAGGGGAAAGAGGTCTGCACTTTTCTCCTCTGCCTCCTCCTCCCCAAACTGCCTCACCCCCTCCCCAATTTTGGTGTCGCAACTGTTTGAGCCCCTGCAGCTAGAGTAGGGCGGACCTGGGTTGCTGCAATCTCAGTACTGTCAGGATTGTGATGGGTCGTTGGAGCGAGTTACCTGCGCTGACTGAGCAGCTCCTTAGCTGTCACTGTGGGGAATCCCCTCTTGTCCAGGGTTACTCTGAGGATGAGGGCGTGGTAAGATCTTGCTAGAAATGTGCTCGCCACGCAACAGCCACTCCATAGCATCTGCTCCCTTGCAGCCAACCTCCCCAGCCCTTGCTCTGGCACAGTGGACTCTGAGGGCCTCAATTGAAGAGGAGGTGTAGTGACATGCATCTAAGAAGGTGTGTCCCTATGCCTTTGAAAACCATTGTTGCCTCAGTAAGGAAAAAAGGAACCCCCCCCCTGTACTTTCTCACCCCAGAGGGGGATACCTGTATATGGACATACCGCAGCCAGAGTGGAGGGTGCTTCCAAAAGAATATATCATGACAGGGTTGGTCAGGGCCTCTCCCTAGACATGGCTGTCCAAGGATGATGGGTGGGGAGTGGCTACTGAGATCCGGCCAACCCTGTCCTTGCAGCAGTGCCCTAACCTTATTGTTGGAATGAGCGTTTGTAGAAGTAGCTCAGACCTACCCATAAACCCTCAGTAGTTGCCTTACCCACTCCCACTGCACAGCTCCTGCTGTCCTGCTTCTCAGCCTGAGGCTTCTCTAGCCAGAGCTCACTCACCTGTGTGCGCAGGGCAGGTGCCAGGGAATTCACACCCTCCCCCATTAGCAGCAGCAGGTCTCAGGAGTCAGTGGACAAGGCCCAGTTCCCAGGCCTCAGCAGGTGTATGTTCCACATGGCCCCCAGCATCTTCCCCAGCCCACAGCCCCAGCCCAGATACCACAGCCTAACCTCCTGGGTCACGTGCCTCCTTATCGGCACTGTCTACTGGTATGTCCTGGGATCACCTCCCCAGCATATCACTTGCACTCCCACCTTAAGGAGGGAAACACCATGAAGACAGTAGGGTGCCCTTAATGTCTCAGCCCGGGGAGCGAAACTGGCCCATTTGGTGCACAGTCAGCCCTCGAGATTGAGGTTGTAGGGATGAGGTGGTGGGGAATGAGCTGTGCTGCTGAGCAGGAAGCTGCGGCTAGGTGGTGGGCGCTGATCCATGTTCCATGCTCTCTTCCTGGCTCAGTGGCAATGTGGAGCGCGCTGAGTCCCTGCACGACAACATGCTCACGCTGGTGGTGCCGCTGATGCATGAAGTGGACATGTCCATCACCGGGTGAGTAGCCCAATCCTGGGAGGCACAGCCCAGCCCCCGGTGCCTGGTGGTGGGATGGTGAGCTTTTCTTCTGTTTTCATGTGGAGCCAGCAGTGGGCCCTGGCACCTGCACTGCTTCCCAGCTTTGAAAAGCAGAATGGAGCTTTAGCCAGGGTCTCGGTCTCCTTCCTTGTTTTCTCATTTTTCCCAGCTGCCTACCCACCTGGTGGGTAACACAAGCTTGAAGACAAGCGTAAGTCCCGTGACTTGTTTGAATGTTCTATATACCTCTGTGAACATGTATACTCACAGCACCCACCGCTGCAGAGAGCCACGTGTTTGTAGGGTTTCTGGGATTCAAACCTTACCCGAAAGTCAGCACCACTTGTGTCCAAATGCCCTGAGTGGCTCGCAGGACTGCCCGGTCTTCCTGACTAGCCCACAGTCTGCCTGGCTTTGCCTGTAGCTATTAAACCTTCTGTGGATCCAGCGGTGGCTCTGTCTAACTTCTGGGATGGGTAGGGAAGGGGCACCCCTCCCTTGCACACTGCTTGCCCAGGGGAAGTCCATGGCCACTGTGCACCCTGGCATTGTTGGAGAGCAGGATTGTAGGACTGCAGGACCCAAGACAACTGAGTCAGTTTTTATGCAGAGCCCAAGACTACAAAAATGAGAACTCAGGCCCTGCTTCTAGCTTTTGAAAGCAGAACACATACTATTTTGATAGTGGAAAGGGATTTGCACAATTAGTTAGATCATAGGAGAACCCATTGAACCCTTGTCCCGAATGGGTGTTGAACTTTCTGGAGGCTCAGACTTCTCATTTTTCCCACCTCTGTGGGCACACTCTGCTGGGCACCGGAAGAGTCTCCAGGCATTCTAAATTGACATGAGACATTGGTGAAATAAATTTTGCAAATGAGCATATATTTGCCTTTGTTCATGGCTCTATTTTCAGCCACTCTCTCCTCAAAATCACGGTGAGAATGTGCCCCAAAGCAGGCCCTGTCCTTAGGCACAAAAGAAAAAACACTCCTGCTCACTCGATCAGGTTGTCAAGCTCAGGAGGCCTCTGTGTGGGGTGTTCACAGCCCTGATGAAGGCATCAGTTAAACAAACCTCTGATGCACCTCTGATCTTTCCAGGAACATAAAACAGGAGCAAGCTTAAAGGAACCTCCTCTTGCCATTTGATAACACTGGGAACTGCATTTCTAAAGCAATACACTTAACGTTTAAGATAGATGAATTGCTATTCATTCAGACTTGGTATCAAAAATGTTTTATTATTCTGATTAGACAAGTAAGCAGCTTCTAGAATATCATCTAGAATCCATTGTTTGTCTGGGAATCTGAGACTGGGCTTTTTCTGAACTCTTGGGTTTGTTCACATGGGCAATGTTGAATGCTTCATTATAAACGAAACTCAGATTCTTAACCAACTTTTTGTTTGTAGCCATTGTTTGAAATCTGAAGGCAAATACTATCATTGAATGGACTCAACAACATTAGGTAGTAAGTTTTTAAAATGAATTGGTCAAAGAGTTGTGTTAAGGATGCTGTATTTAACTCATTTATATTTACTCTTAAAACCTTGCCATAATCTTTCGCAAGACAAAAAAAAATGTTTTTCAAATGACAAAACAGAGAAGTGTTTTTCAAATGACAAAAAAGTGCATTTTTAATCACTTAAAATTGAAACCGAAGCTACCATCCTCTTCCTCCTCATTTTAGAGATGTCATCTAGCCCATACTTGTATATGGAGCTTACTGACTTGACCAAAAGGAGCAGACATTACTGAGAGTGTCTGTTTAGAAGGTGTAGGCCTGCTTATGTCCATCTACAGAAGGAAGAAGTAACAGTTCCAAAGGGAGCATTTGGTGGAAGACATTGAAGGAAGCCTGGTTTTGAATTAAAAAGACTGAATTTGGGTTTGGGGGGACAGCAATAATCTTGGGTTGCTTGACAATTTCATACTTTCCTCTTTGCAGAATCATATCTCCGACCTCCTTTGTGTATGGCGAGTCTGTGGACACATCCAACTTCATCCAGCTGGAGGACCAGGAATGTCTCTTCCAGCCTCTCAATGTCACTCTTCAGGTACCCCCAACCCCTACCTGTCATTGGGACCAAAGGAAGCGCTCACAGGATGTGTATGCTGCTGATGCAATGAAAGGACCATGATCTTTCCAGGAAAAACTTTTGCCAGCTTGGGCAGCTAGAATGTCTCGTGTGTGTGTGTGTCTGTGTGTGTGTGCGTGTATGTGCTCGTTCTGTAACCATACACAAAGTAATCCCTTTTTCCTCTGGTATTCTGCTGTGTAGACCCCTCTACCCTTCAATATTTAGCAAGAGAGCTGCATGATAAACACAAGCTTTCTCCAAGAATGCCTCTGTATGGTGAGGTCTAGCCTAAATGGTCCCAAAAGACCCCTTTCTGTTCTCCATCGTTGTCCATGTTGTAGTATTACACCAGCACAGTGGGAATGAATGTAAGCCCCCTTGAGCAGAAGCAAGCTGCTCCCTTCCAGAGCAGTGACTTCCCAGTCATGTATGCAGCTGCAAAGGGACCAGTGGGTAATGTGGGCTCTGCAGGCTCAGTGACAATTATTCCCCACTCTGTATGTCACAAAGGCAGCCTTAAGCAGGGAAGAAGCATTGTAGTTGTGGACATGGAAATATGAATATCATGTTCACATGTTCATGAAATATTTTCCTTCTCTTGACATTTTTCCCCAGCCATTTAAAAATGTAAAAACACTCTTAGCTCACAAGCTATACAAAAACAGGTGCAGGTTAGATTGGCATCTCAGCCAGAGTCCAATACACCTGCTCTGAGTTCAAAATCCCAGGCCAGCACTGTTCACTGCAAGACTCTGAGTAAAGCTAGAAGGACCTCAGCATCATTCAGTTCATTCTTCTCAACTGGCTGATGTGGGGAGATGTAGGTCCAGACAGGGAAGGACATTCTGGGGATCCAGAGTGGGGAGCGGTGGGCCTGGGTCAGGGCAGCGCAGACAGGGGCTGGACACCCTCCCCAAGCAAGAGACTTCCACAACCTTGAGGGATAGCACATGTCCGCAGATCCCTGCCAGCTAAGCCCCAGCTTTATTTGTAAGGAAAGGGGTGGGGTTAGACTGGCTCTTAAGACCTTGGAGTGATTGTCATGAATAGGAGCTTAGTGTTTCTGCATCACTTCTCAGAATTAGTCATTTTTCTCCATTACCTTTTGTAACTGGATAGAAAAACAGTTAAAGACTAGGTGGAATTATTTCATGTTTCAGGTTCTTAATAATATAAGCTACAGTCCAGATAATTGTTTAGAAGTGTTCAAATAACCCAGCTCATGGAATGAGGAAGATAGAGGTATTGAAAGGAGAAGATCGGGAGGAATAGCAAATATGCAGAAATATTCTGCCCATCCTCTAAAAGGAGAGAAGAAAATCAAAAGTATGTTGCTAAGTCATGCTTTTCTGTGGCATTTTTTCAGGAAACTTTGGTGTTTGGGCAAAGGTCTTTCTTCACATCTGACCTGGCACAGGATACAGGCCAGAGAATCTGAGCCTCCAGGAATGAGTGAATGGCATGACCCTTTGATAAACTTCTTGATTATCAATTGCTTGAGGGAGCATATAACATTCAGATCAGAATCAGAGAGTTGATGGGTCTGAAAGATGAATAACATGTGACATTGATTAGGATAGCATGTGACATTGATCCTCTTGTGTTAACAAGGCTGACAGTTTGCTGGAGAAATCTCTGACAACTCCTTTTCTGGGATAATTGTAATTATTCTGATCTTCCTGCAGAGAGGTCACTGGCCAGGTTTATGGGATAATGACCAGGCGGTGGACATAGTGGAGGTAGACAGGGTCAGGAAATGGATTAAACTCCTTATTTTTCCTTTTGCTGTCAACAATCCCCCTGAAGAAGAGCAAAGGACTCACCATGTAAACAGACTTACTGTCTTTTAAAAGCTCTTATTCAACAGCAGTGTAATTATTTAAAGATGCCACTACAATACAGATGGAAGAAAGACAGAAATACTAGTCTTGGGCCTGGTTTCTACATTTCATCAGTTTTTTTTAACAGAAGCAGAATTATTTATTAATCATTGATAAACATTTTTTTTTTGCCTTGAGTCGAATCATTTTCCTTACCTCAAAACTAATAGAAGTAGTGCAGATGTTGTATAAGAACATTGCAAAATATCAAATGTTAAGACATTTGTTCAAAATAAATAAGTATGGCAATCTGAGCCCAGCATCTGGCTCTGATGATGAAATAATGCAAATCAGCATCATGTTCTTTCCTTCCCCCCCACTCATACTTTAATTGGGATTTCCCAGACATGTCAATAGGGCTATTTTCATTATGGATGCTCACATTTCACTTCAAATTGGTTTGTTCAATTGCGGTTGGATGGTCCTTCCTTTTCCTGTGTCTTCGGGTTGTTGCTTTTGATGGATTTGCTTCCTTTGCATCAAGAATTGGCTGTGAGGGCTCATGCTCACCATCAATTTTTTTGGTCTGTGCTTTGAAGTAGAACCATCTGTGGCAAAAATAATAATAATAATAATAAAATAAAATAAAAAAAAAATGAAGACACAGCTTTTTAGGGAAGAGCCGAGTGAGCTAATTCGCCTGTGCTGTTACTGGTGAATACTAGGGTTGATGTCCAGCCAGTCTCCAGCCTCTGCCCTTCTGCCCTCAGCTCCAGAGATGCCTCATGTCCCTGTGTTCTTGCTCTGGTCCCTGGCCACTGAGAGCAGTTTGTTTCTTCCTTTCTTACTCCTTCCCATTTTCTTTTTTAAATAACACCTATCTTGAGATGTATCATTTACTACATACCTTAAAGTTCACATGTTTAAAATGTATGACTCCATGATTTTTAGAATGTTTACCATATGGTATATGATTATCATAATCTAATTTTAGAACCATTTCATCAACCTAAAAATAAACTTCACTCCCATCAGCAGTCACTCCCTATATTAATTTCCTATTACTCCTGTGACAAATGATCACAAACTTAGTGACCACAAAAAGTGCAAAGTTTTTTCAAGCTGTACTACAAAGCCATAATAATCAAAACTGCATGGTACTGGAATAAGAATAGACATACAGACCGGTGGATTCGAATAGAAAACCCAG